CAGTGACGTATCAATCTGGGTAAGTGGTGTCACCAGTCAATCAGTGAGCCCTCAACCTCCGTGTATCAGTGACGTATCAATCTGGGTAAGTGGTGTCACCAGTCAATCAGTGAGCCCTCAACCTCCGTGTATCAGTGACGTATCAATCTGTGTAAGTGGTGTCACCAGTCAATCAGTGAGCCCTCAACCTCTGTGTATCAGTGACGTATCAATCTGGGTAAGTGGTGTCACCAGTCAATCAGTGAGCCCTCAACCTCTGTGTATCAGTGACGTATCAATCTGTGTAAGTGGTGTCACCAGTCAATCAGTGAGCCCTCAACCTCCGTGTATCAGTGACGTATCAATCTGTGTAAGTGGTGTCACCAGTCAATCAGTGAGCCCTCAACCTCCGTGTATCAGTATCAGTGACGTATCAATCTGTGTAAGTGGTGTCACCAGTCAATCAGTGAGCCCTCAACCTCCGTGTATCAGTGGCATATCAATCTGTGTAAGTGGTGTCACCAGTCAATCAGTGAGCCCTCGACCTCCGTGTATCAGTATCAGTGACGTATCAGTCTGTGTAAGTGGGGTCACCAGTCAATCAGTGAGCCCTCAACCTCCGTGTATCAGTGACGTATCAATCTGGGTAAGTGGTGTCACCAGTCAATCAGTGAGCCCTCAACCTCTGTGTATCAGTGACGTATCAATCTGGGTAAGTGGTGTAACCAGTCAATCAGTGAGCCCTCAACCTCCGTGTATCAGTGACGTATCAATTTGGGTAAGTGGGGTCACCAGTCAATCAGTGAGCCCTCAACCTCCGTGTATCAGTGACGTATCAATCTGTGTAAGTGGTGTCACCAGTCAATCAGTGAGCCCTCAACCTCCGTGTATCAGTGACGTATCAATCTGTGTAAGTGGTGTCACCAGTCAATCAGTGAGCCCTCAACATCTGTGTATCAGTGACGTATCAATCTGTGTAAGTGGGGTCACCAGTCAATCAGTGAGCCCTCAACCTCCGTGTATCAGTGACGTATCAATCTGGGTAAGTGGTGTCACCAGTCAATCAGTGAGCCCTCAACCTCCGTGTATCAGTGACGTATCAATCTGTGTAAGTGGTGTCACCAGTCAATCAGTGAGCCCTCAACCTCCGTGTATCAGTGACGTATCAATCTGTGTAAGTGGGGTCACCAGTCAATCAGTGAGCCCTCAACATCTGTGTATCAGTGACGATCAATCTGTGTAAGTGGTGTCACCAGTCAATCAGTGAGCCCTCAACCTCCGTGTATCAGTGGACGATCAATCTGTGTAAGTGGTGTCACCAGTCAATCAGTGAGCCCTCAACCTCTGTGTATCAGTGACGTATCAATCTGTGTAAGTGGGGTCACCAGTCAATCAGTGAGCCCTCAACCTCCGTGTATCAGTGACGTATCAATCTGTGTAAGTGGTGTCACCAGTCAATCAGTGAGCCCTCAACCTCCCGTATCAGTATAAGTGACGTCTCAATCTGTGTAAGTGGTGTCACCAGTCAATCAGTGAGCCCTCAACCTCCGTGTATCAGTGGCATATCAATCTGTGTAAGTGGTGTCACCAGTCAATCAGTGAGCCCTCGACCTCCGTGTATCAGTATCAGTGACGATCAGTCTGTGTAAGTGGGGTCACCAGTCAATCAGTGAGCCTCAACCTCCATGTGTATCAGTGGTATCAATCTGGGTAAGTGGTGTCACCAGTCAATCAGTGAGCCCTCAACCTCTGTGTATCAGTGACGATCAATCTGGGTAAGTGGTGTAACCAGTCAATCAGTGAGCCCTCAACCTCCGTGTATCAGTGACGTATCAATTTGGGTAAGTGGGGTCACCAGTCAATCAGTGAGCCCTCAACCTCCGTGTATCAGTGACGTATCAATCTGTGTAAGTGGTGTCACCAGTCAATCAGTGAGCCCTCAACCTCCGTGTATCAGTGGGACGATCAATCTGTGTAAGTGGGGTCACCAGTCAATCAGTGAGCCCTCAACATCTGTGTATCAGTGACGATCAATCTGTGTAAGTGGGGTCACCAGTCAATCAGTGAGCCCTCAACCTCCGTGTATCAGTGACGTATCAATCTGGGTAAGTGGTGTCACCAGTCAATCAGTGAGCCCTCAACCTCCGTGTATCAGTGACGTATCAATCTGTGTAAGTGGTGTCACCAGTCAATCAGTGAGCCCTCAACCTCCGTGTATCAGTGACGTATCAATCTGTGTAAGTGGGGTCACCAGTCAATCAGTGAGCCCTCAACATCTGTGTATCAGTGACGTATCAATCTGTGTAAGTGGTGTCACCAGTCAATCAGTGAGCCCTCAACCTCCGCTGTATCAGTGACGTATCAATCTGTGTAAGTGGGGTCACCAGTCAATCAGTGAGCCCTCAACATCTGTGTATCAGTGACGTATCAATCTGTGTAAGTGGGGTCACCAGTCAATCAGTGAGCCCTCAACCTCCGTGTATCAGTGACGTATCAATCTGGGTAAGTGGTGTCACCAGTCAATCAGTGAGCCCTCAACCTCCGTGTATCAGTGACGTATCAATCTGTGTAAGTGGTGTCACCAGTCAATCAGTGAGCCCTCAACCTCCGTGTATCAGTGACGTATCAATCTGTGTAAGTGGTGTCACCAGTCAATCAGTGAGCCCTCAACCTCTGTGTATCAGTGACGTATCAATCTGTGTAAGTGGTGTCACCAGTCAATCAGTGAGCCCTCAACCTCCATGTATCAGTGACGTATCAATCTGTGTAAGTGGTGTCACCAGTCAATCAGTGAGCCCTCAACCTCCGTGTATCAGTATCAGTGACGTATCAATCTGTGTAAGTGGTGTCACCAGTCCATCAGTGAGCCCTCAACCTCCATGTATCAGTGACGTTTCAATCTGTGTAAGTGGGGTCACCAGTCAATCAGTGAGCCCTCAACCTCTGTGTATCAGTGACGTATCAATCTGTGTAAGTGGTGTCACCAGTCAATCAGTGAGCCCTCAACCTCCGTGTATCAGTGACATATCAATCTGTGTAAGTGGTGTCACCAGTCAATCAGTGAGCCCTCAACCTCTGTGTATCAGTGACGTATCAATCTGGGTAAGTGGTGTCACCAGTCAATCAGTGAGCCCTCAACCTCCCTGTATCAGTGACGTATCAATCTGTGTAAGTGGGGTCACCAGTCAATCAGTGAGCCCTCAACCTCTGTGTATCAGTGACGTATCAATCTGTGTAAGTGTTGTCACCAGTCAATCAGTGAGCCCTCAACCTCCGTGTATCAGTGACGTATCAATCTGTGTAAGTGGTGTCACCAGTCAATCAGTGAGCCCTCAACCTCCGTATCAGTGGTATCAGTGGCGTCACCATCAATCTGTGTAAGTGGTGTCACCAGTCAATCAGTGAGCCCTCAACCTCCGCCCTCAACCTCAGTGACGTATCAATCTGTGTAAGTGGGGTCACCAGTCAATCAGTGAGCCCTCAACCTCGTGTATCAGTGACGTATCAATCTGTGTAAGTGGTGTCACCAGTCAATCAGTGAGCCCTCAACCTCCGTGTATCAGTGACGTATCAATCTGTGTAAGTGGTGTCACCAGTCAATCAGTGAGCCCTCAACCTCTGTGTATCAGTGACGTATCAATCTGTGTATGGCAGAGGAAGGAAGGATAACAAGTGATTACTTGCTTCATTGTTAGAACCTACACCGGAACTTTGCTCTCACAGTAATAAAGAAGTTGTTCATCCATATATTGTTATCCTTCCTTGCTGCTCCAACTTCTAAATGCCTCTCAAAAAAGGTATAGCTGAGGCTTCAACCCCTGTATATCAGTGAGGCTTCAATCAATGTGTAACAGTGAGGCTTCAATCAATGCGTAACAGTGAGGCTTCAATCAATGCGCAACAGTGAGGCCTCAATCAATATACAACAGTGAGGCTTCATTCAATTTACAACAGTGAGGCCTCAATACAACAGTGAGGCTTCATTCAATGTACAACAGTGAGGCTTCAATCAATGTACGACCACCTCTGTGGTGTAGTGGTTAGAGCGTCCACCCGGAGAGCGGAAGGTCGCGGGTTCGATCCCGACCGCGTCACACCAAAAGACGTTAAAATATGGTACTTGTTGGTCCCTGCCTGGCGCTTGGCATTAATGGGTACAACAAGGACTGGTCGGCTCAGAGTCAGTATAATGTGTCTGAGTGGGGTATTCATGCTTCACTGCGGCATGGTATCTCAGTGGGCTAGCACTATAAAACCAGCTTAAGTCTGGGCTAGTACAAGCAGCTGCACATACACATACACACGCATGCACGTCGTCATATGAGCGAAATATTCTCAAGCACGACGTAAAACCCAATTTCACCTCACCTCAATCAATGTACAACAGTGAGGCTTCAATCAATGTACAACAGTGAGGCTTCAATCAATGTGCAACAGTGAGGCTTCAATCAATGTGCAACAGTGAGGCTTCAATCAATGTGCAACAGTGAGGCTTCAATCAATGTACAACAGCAACAGTGAGGCTTCAATCAATGTGCAACAGTGAGGCTTCAATCAATGTACAACAGTGAGGCTTCAATCAATGTGCAACAGTGAGGCTTCAATCAATGTACAACAGTGAGGCTTCAGTCAATGTGCAACAGCGAGGCCTCAATCAATGTGCAACAGTGAGGCTTCAATCAATGTGCAACAGTGAGGCTTCAATCAATGTTCAACAGTGAGGCTTCAATCAATGTTCAACAGTGAGGCTTCAATCAATGCGTAACAGTAAGGCTTCAATCAATGTGTATCGGAGAGTGTTCAACCCATGTATAACTGAGGCCTACACCCCTGTGTTTCAGCGAGTCTCCCACCATTACAAAGTACTAGTTAAGCCTCAAACACTACACTGTTTCAAAACACAAGATACAGAATCTCATATTAAACTTCCAATAGTTAAACATACACTTGGGATTGGTCCAGTTTGCCTGAGCTGTGTTAGTCAATGGTCTATAAGGTCAAATAGTAAAGGATCATCATACCTTTGTTCATTCCAACTTCATAACATTTGCGGAGACGGCATGCCTGGCAGCTCTTCCGACGATGTTTGTCAATTGTACAGTTGTTAGTTGCTGGACATACATAGTCCACGGGACCTGTAAGAAGAACTAAATAGAGTTAGTAATCATCTTAATCACTTAAATTCTATTGCATATTCTCTGCATCTCAGTGGTAACACCAAAGATTGGTTGGCCACATCCCTAGCAGGTGTGTCAATGAGGTTTCACACCCAACAGATTTATCAGGGGGGCCTCAACCCCTGTGTGTCAGAGAGGCCTTAACTTCTGTGTGTCAGGGAGGCCTCAACCCCTGTGTGTCAGGGAGGCCTCAACCCCTGTGTGTCAGGGAGGCCTTAACCCCTGTGTGTCAGAGAGGCCTTAACTCCTGTGTGTCAGGGAGGCCTCAACCCCTGTGTGTCAGGGAGGCCTCAACCCCTGTGTGTCAGGGAGGCCTTAACCCCTGGGTGTCAGAGAGGCCTCAACCCCTGTGTGTCAGAGAGAGGCCTTAACCCCTGTGTGTCAGAGAGGCCTTAACCCCTGTGTGTCAGAGAGGACACAATCCCTGTGTGTCAGGGAGGCCTCAATCCCTGTGTGTCAGAGAGGCCTCAACCCCTGTGTGTCAGAGAGGCCTTAACCCCTGTGTGTCAGAGAGGACACAATCCCTGTGTGTCAGGGAGGCCTCAATCCCTGTGTGTCAGAGAGGCCTTAACCCTCTGTATATCAGGGAGGCCTCAACCACCGTGTGTCAGGGAGGCCTCAACCCGTGTGTGTCAGGGAGGCCTCAACCCCCGTGTGTCAGGGAGGACACAATCCCTGTGTGTCAGGGAGGCCTCAACCCCTGTGTGTCAGGGAGGCCTCAACCCCTGTGTGTCAGGGAGGCCTCAACCCCTGTATATCAGGGAGGCCTCAACCCCCGTGTGTCAGGGAGGCCTCAACCCCTGTGTGGCAGGGAGGCCTCAACCCCTGTGTGTCAGAGAGGACACAATCCCTGTGTGGCAGAGAGGACACAATCCCTGTGTGGCAGGGAGGCCTCAAACCCTGTGTGGTGTATGCCGATCAAGTGATCATGGAATTCCGGAAACATGCCCAGGAATCCTCACTACGAGAAATGCAATCAACAAAGTTGCCTGCCAACAGTCCATTAAGTCGTATCGTACAACTAGCATAGATTGCTGGGGACCAATTCTAAGCCAGAAACCCCCAGGAGTAGATCAGTAAAGAGAGTAGAATACTACATGCCTTGAAGTTTACCTTGTATGCTTCGTTTGAAGAAAGCCTTACAGCCTTCGCAGGACCAGACACCATAGTGGAAGCCGGATGCGTTGTCATTACACACCTGGCACAACTTGGTGGATGTCCCACTCACTGCAGCACAAGAACACACATAGTTATTACAGGAGGATATATAGCACAGCCACCACCAACAACAACTGTATAATTACATACAAGCAAATAATTACTGGATACAATGACAACTGACATATCACAACAGTACAACTGGATGCATGTAAATCTCTTCAGGACACAGTACTCTATATGCATGTAAATCTCTTCAGGACACAGTACTCTATATGCATGTAAATCTCTTCAGGACACTATGCATGTAAATCTCTTCAGGACACACAGTACTCTATATGCATGTAAATCTTCAGGAAACAGGACACACTCTATATGCATGTAAATCTCTTCAGGACACAGTACTCTATATGCATGTAAATCTCTTCAGGACACAGTACTCTATATGCATGTAAATCTCTTCAGGACACAGTACTCTATATGCATGTAAATCTCTTCAGGACACAGTACTCTATATGCATGTAAATCTCTTCAGGACACAGTACTCTATATGCATGTAAATCTCTTCAGGACACAGTACTCTATATGCATGTAAATCTCTTCAGGACACAGTACTCTATATGCATGTAAATCTCTTCAGGACACATGCACTACACAGTACTCTATATGCATGTAAATCTCTTCAGGACACAGTACTCTATATGCATGTAAATCTCTTCAGGACACAGTACTCTATACATTCTTCAGGACACTCTATATATGCATGTAAATCTCTTCAGGACACAGTACTCTATATGCATGTAAATCTCTTCAGGACACAGTACTCTATATGCATGTAAATCTCTTCAGGACACAGTACTCTATATGCATGTAAATCTCTTCAGGACACTATGCATGTAAATCTCTTCAGGACACAGTACTCTATATGCATGTAAATACCTTCAGGACACAGTACTCTATATGCATGTAAATCTCTCCAGGACACAGTACTATATGCAGTAAACTTCAGGACACAGTACTCTATATGCATGTAAATCTCTTCAGGACACAGTACTCTATATGCATGTAAATCTCTTCAGGACACAGTACTCTATATGCATGTAAATCTCTTCAGGACACAGTACTCTATATGCATGTAAATCTCTTCAGGACACAGTACTCTATATGCATGTAAATCTCTTCAGGACACAGTACTCTATATGCATGTAAATCTCTTCAGGACACAGTACTCTATATGCATGTAAATCTCTTCAGGACACAGTACTCTATATGCATGTAAATCTCTTCAGGACACAGTACTCTATATGCATGTAAATCTCTTCAGGACACAATACTCTGAATGCATGTAAATCTCTTCAGGACACAGTACTCTATATGCATGTAAATCTCTTCAGGACACAGTACTCTATATGCATGTAAATCTCTTCAGGACATGTACTCTATATGCATGTAAATCTCTGCAGGACACAGTACTCTATATGCATGTAAATCTCTTCAGGACACTATGCATGTAAATCTCTTCAGGACACTATGCATGTAAATCTCTTCAGGACACAATACTCTGAATGCATGTGAATCTTTTCAGGACACAATGATCCAGATGTTTCCACATCTCTTCAGGGTTCAATACTTGAACATATGGAGGGGGGCAATATTCCAGATGTTTGCAAATCTCTTCAAGACACAATACTCTGGATGCATGTAAATCCTTTCAGGACACAATCCTCATGATATCTGCAAATACTCTGGATGTATGCAAATCTCTATCAGACACAATACTCAGGATGTTTATGATCATGGTATTCAGAAAGAGTCAACATGACATCGTGTCTCTGAGGGACCAGCCTTTCCCAGACAGTAGACAATAAATAAAAATGAGTCCAGTCTAGAATGACAATGTATATGGCAAATCTCTAGACAGTAAATATTGTCCTGAGGCCATCAGACATACATAGATTTATACATATATTCTAATAAGATAACTTATTTCTGGGAGTAAATGCTAGTTTAAGACCAGAAAGGCTTTCCTTCATTTGGGAGACAAGACTACCGATTCCATATTCTAAGTTGCAGACAATGCAAAATTGGAACTATCAATCTTCATAAACCAACAACCAACAACTCTCATAAATAGCCAATGATTTGTCATCCTTCTTCAACCACATGACTAAAGCTCTGCTATGATGTACAACTTCCTGTACTGCTTACCAAGGACATTATTAAATGCAAAACATTAAACCAGATGCTCATCAAGAATTCTAATTTATTCCAAACTCTCCTGGTAGTGACCTCCATACTTTCAGACACCCACACCAATGACCTCCATCAAGCTGACCTCAAACTTTCATGTGGTGACCCCACACAGGAAACCTGGAGGAAACTAACTCTGTTACACTTATAGCACATATATAATATAATCAACCATATGATCACCTGATATGACACATGTTTAGTACAACCAGCCATATGATCACCTGATATGACACATGTATAGCATAAGCAGCCATATGATAACCTACTGTAGCATATATATAATTCAATCAACCATATGGTCACCAAATATAGCCCATGTACAGTATGATCAACCATATGATCACCTAATATGACTCATGTATAGTATAACCAGCCATATGATCACATGTGTAATGTGACACAAGTATATGTCACACCTAATGTGACACATGTATAGTATACCAACCATATGATCACCTAATGTAACACATGTATAGTATAACCAACCATATGATCACCTAATGTAACACATGTATAGTATGACCAACCACATGATCACCTAATGTAACACATGTATAGTATAACCAACTAATGTAACACATGATCACCTAATGTAACACATGTATAGTATGACCAACCACATGATCACCTAATGTAACACATGTATAGTATGACCAACCACATGATCACCTTATGTAACACATGTGTAGTATACCAACCATATGATCACCTAATGTGACACATGTATAATATGACCAACCACACGATCACCTACCGGTAATTTGACACATGTATAGTATAACCAACCACATGATCACCTAATGCAACACATGTATAGTGTAACCAACCATATGATCACTTAATAGCCCACATACAGTGTAACCAGCCATATGATCAACTGACATATCATGTGCATGTTTTATACACATGCAACATGTCCCATTGTTTTCATCCAAAATAAGAAATATTACAAGACACTAACAATTTTATAGTCTCCCTTTTCCTGTACAAAGTATATATATTTACACTCATTCATGGAAGTCCAGTATCAATCATGATCGAGAGTTTTATGTACACACACAATATGTATGTGTCAAACACTAAATACTGCCATGAGGCCTCACCCTCCAAAGCACATACAAGTCATCTGAATCTACTTGATAAAAACGTTGAGTATATAATGGCTATTCATACCTGTTAACCTGTGAGCTAACCGAACACCACAAAAACCTTGACCTGCCACTTGACCTCACTGAATGGGCACATGGAGAGCAGAGCATTCACAAGACGGTTAATCCCCGCTTACTGAGCCCAAATACCGAGCCATAGACGCCACGTGATTGGTTTCATCATCCTACCCAGCAATACAGCAGACTAACATACAAACATCACCTGGTTCTGCTCAGTTCAATGGACTAACAGTGTACATGGTGTTACAAGCACACAATATATACACATACCTCTACCGTGAAGTGAAACAGTCTACCATCTAAACCTGTCTACCTCGATCTGTTGAAGCAGTCTACCATCTCTACCTGTCTACCCATCTGTTGAAGCAGTCTACCATCTCTACCTGTCTACCCATCTGTTGAAGCAGTCTACCATCTCTACCTGTCTACCCCATCTGTTGAAGCAGTCTACCATCTCTACCTGTCTACCCATCTGTTGAAGCTAACCCTCTGAAGAAGTCTCCCATCTCTAGTCTACCCATCTGTTGAAGCAGTCATCATCTACCTGTCTAGCCCCATCTGTTACCCTCGAAGCAGTCTACCATCTATCTCTACCATCTCTACCTCCACCTCTATGCCTGTCTACCCTCTGTTGAAGCAGTCACCACCATCTCTACCTGTCTGTTACCCATCTGTTGAAGCAGTCCACCATCTCTACCTGTCTACCTACCTGTCTACCCATCTGTTGAAGCAGTCTACCATCTCTACCTGTCTACCCATCTGTTGAAGCAGTCTACCATCTCTACCTGTCTACCTCCATCTGTTGAAGCAGTCTACCATCTCTACCTGTCTACCCATCTGTTGAAGCAGTCTACCATCTCTACCTGTCTACCTCCATCTGTTGAAGCAGTCTATCATCTCTCTACCCATCTGTTGAAGCAGTCTACCATCTCTACCTGTCTACCCATCTGTTGAAGCAGTCTACCATCTCTACCTGTCTACCTCCATCTGTTGAAGCAGTCTACCATCTCTACCTGTCTACCCCTCTGTTGAAGCAGTCTACCATCTATACCTGTCTACCCCTCAGTTCATCAGTTTTATTCAGTGCAATTTGAAGCAAATATGAAGCAATGAAAACAAGTTCAGAATTATATATAGCTTTCAAATGTACCTTGTCAATGAGAACTACCATCACTGGATGCATACTTGGCCTGTACTATTTAGTAGCCATGGTCTAGCCAACTACCACAAATTGTAAGCACTGACCAAGAAGCATCCCTACAATTCTATGTACCTGAAGGCATCTCCTGTTTAGGGTGTGGTGCCTGAACAAGGTTGGTGCGGGGATCAATGGGTGGCAGAAACTTTTTCTCTGGGTCCAGCCCGTCTGTTGTGGTTGACGTCGGCGCCTGTGGGTGTGCACCGGCAGGCAACATGCTCTGCGCATGTTGCACCTGCACCGGTATGCATGCACCTGGCGACACCATCCGCCCTTCTTCCTTAGGAGACTTGGTGCCACTGCACTCCCTGCAACAAAACAGAAACTTGTCAGGCATGTCATAAAAACACAGATGAGTACTGGTCAAATATGAGATATATACACCAAGGCATTCCCGTGAGACATATGGTATATCCACCAAGATGTTCTGGCCAGATATACGATATATCCACCACAATGTTCTGGTCAGATATATGATATATCCACCATGATTTTCTGGTCAGATTATGCAATATCCACCAATATGTTCTGGTCAGATTATGATATATCCACCAAAATGTTCTGTTCAGATATATGATATATCCACCAAGATGTTCTGGCCAGATTATGATATATCCACCAAGATGTTCTGGCCAGATATATGATATATCCACCAAAATGTTCTCAAGATGTTCAGATATATGATATATCCACCAAGATGTTCTGGCCAGATTATGATATATCCACCAAGATGTTCTGGCCAGATTATGATATATGTTCTGGCCAGATTATGATATATCCACCAAGATGTTCTGGCCAGATTATGATATATCCACCAAGATGTTCTGGCCAGATATATGATATATCCACCAAGATGTTCTGGCCAGATTATGATATATCCACCAAGATGTTCTGGCCAGATTATGATATATCCACCAAGATGTTCTGGTCAGATTATGGCAAAGCATATAATGGAGCATACATCAGAACAAAAAGAAACAGCCGTGGAAGGAAATGAAAATGGCAACCTGTCAATTCATCAAATCACTTCTCATTTGACAAAGGCCACTCAGCCATTGTTCACATTCATCTATCATTCAGGATTTCCCAGGAAAGAAACATCATTGTTGGATCAGGTGACATGCATGTGTATCCCACAATGCAGCAGTCCAGTCATAGTGATATGATTTCATTGTGTTTGTTAATATGACCCACTAGGCTTCACATAGATGCAAATATTTAAAGGGCAAGGATTAAAAATACATGAGAGAAACAGTAACTGTGCAGATGCTGAGAATCACATCCAAGACAAAGAAAACGCTTGTCACATACTGCTGCACACCCCAAATATGTTTGTTTAAAAAGCAAAATTGGAATAATTATTTTCATTTTAGTTGTCCTTAACACCCATGCAGGATGCAACAGACGGGTCTTTTGGGACCTGAATCTTCCATTAATGAAAAGTTTATAATATTCCTTGATGGGACTATAGAAACTGGTATCCTCTACCGATAGGACTATGAAGTCCTGTGTCCACTATCAACAGGACCATTGAGATATGTATTCTGTATTGATGGGATCATTGAGATTTGCATCCTCCATTGACAACACCGTTGAGATCTGTATCCTCTACCAATAGGACTATGAAGTCCTGTGTCCACTATCGACAGGACCATTGACATATGCATATTCTATCAACGGGACCATTGATATATGCATTCTGTATCAACGGGACCAGAGACCTGTACCCTCTATTAATATGGCCTGTAATGAGGCCTGTATCTTAAAATATATGCCTATAACATTGCAGAGCATTTGTATCAGACTTCTCTCCATGTAGGGTAGAACATAGTCTGTCTCACAGTCCCTGAACCACATTATTTTCCCTACTGACAAGCCCTCTCTGCAGTGCTAAAGCCCCAAATAAAGCAAGTCTAGATTTCCTCAGGTTCTGAATCTCTGGTCTCCCTGGGGCTCCTATTAAATTTAAATGGGCTTGTTTGTTACTATCAAAATTATATATCTTCAGAGACTAAGCATTAGTCTAGGTAGAACACAATGAAGTAACATTCTCCACCATTTCTCTTTGTACACCTGTGTCACATTACAGTGAGATTCCCTGGCTTTACTAAAAAGATGCTGGAAAATCTAACGATTGATTCAGAATTCCTCTTCTGTAACGATTCCTCCCATGTGTCTCTTTAAGCAAGGTACATTGTGGATCACAGCACAATGGATTACCAGTATATCTTTTTCAGGTTATGACATCAATACTATTGACAGTGTAGTGCAGCACATGTAATATTGATATTATGTTCTTGACGTGTTGCCACTGAACCACTGCAATGAATGAATCATTACACCTCGAAGTTATAACACTAACATCAGCGATGAGGTCAATACAAGAGAGAAGCATCCATCCCATCCCCTCAGTTTTGAAAAATCTGAAACCAGGCAGCCTATAGCAGAAGCATGACAACATTAAGGAAGGACTTTAATTGTCAGTGAGTGAGTGAGTGAGTTGGGTTTTACTACGCTTTTAGCAATATTCCAACAATATCACGGTTGGGGACACCAGAAATGGGCTTCACACACTGTGCCCATGTGGGGAATCGAACCCGGGTCTTCGGCATGACGAGTGAACGCTTTAACCACTAGGCTACCCCACCACCCTCCATTGTCAGAGAGATTATTCTTGTTTAGACTCTCCCTCGATCCACTAACACACTGAAAACATGTTGAAATGGAATTCAGTACAAATGCACTCACTTATTACCTTGCACAATGGGGGCAATATCTACTCAACAGGATATGAAATCTAACATTTAACTGGTATAAATATTTTTGACAATCCTGCAAATTTGTTTTCAAAGGCATTTCTCACAAATTATAAATCTATGCAAAGTCTCATTTTACAAGTAATAGAACCTCTTTGTTTTCTGTAAGAAATATTTTATATGTTTCTGTCTAAGCATTATCATCTCTCTCAGGTTGTGCAAACTGATTGACTCCCTCGACTTCACTCGGTGCAAACTAAGGACAAGTGACTCTCCTAACTGACTAGTCAGTGCAAACTAAGGACGACTGACTGAGGCAGATGTAGGTTCGCATGGCTGCGACCACAATATCTTCTTTGTTCTCAAGAGTACCACTCCTGGTAGATGTTAACTAACTTACTGTCAATAAATCAATATATGGCAACAACATACGTCGAGTTCTTATAGTATGTTTTAGGCATCACCAGTTACAACTATAACACAGAAAACAGCATAGAACACATCTGTCTGGCATCACAAGAAGGATTCTACAGCATAGAACACTTCTGTCTGGCATTGCAAGAAGCATTCTACAGCATAGAACACTTCTGTCTGGCACTACATGAAGCATTCTACAGCATAGAACACATCTGTCTGGCATCACAAGAAGGATTCTACAGCATAGAACACTTCTGTCTGGCACTACATGAAGCATTCTACAGCATAGAACACTTCTGTCTGGCATCACGAGAAGGATTCTACAGCATAGAACACATCTGTCTGGCATCACAAGAAGCATATTTTACAGCATAGAACACATCTGGCATCACAAGAAGCATTCTACAGCATAGAACACTTCTGTCTGGCACTACATGCAGCATTCTACAACATAGAACACTTCTGTCTGGCACTACATGAAGCATTCTACAGCATAGAACACATCTGTCTGGCACTACATGAAGCATTCTACAACATAGAACACTTCTGTCTGGCATCACAGGAATTCTACAGCATAGAACACTTCTGTCTGGCACTACATGAAGCATTCTACAGCATAGAACAGATCTGTCTGGCACTACATGAAGCATTCTACAACATAGAGCACCTCTGTCTGGCATCACAAGAAGGATTCTACAGCATAGAACACTTCTGTCTGACATCACAAGAAGCATTCTACAGCATAGAACACTTCTGTCTGGCATTGCAAGAAGCATTCTACAGCATAGAACACATCTGTCTGGCATCACAAGAAGGATTCTACAGCATAAAACACTTCTGTCTGGCACTACATGAAGCATTCTACAGCATAGAACACATCTGTCTGGCATCACAAGAAGGATTCTACAGCATAGAACACATCTGTCTGGCATCACAAGAAGCATTCTACAACATAGAACACATCTGTCTGGCATCACAAGAAGGATTCTACAGCATAGAACACATCTGTCTGGCATCACGAGAAGGATTCTACAGCATAGAACACATTTGTCTGGCATCACAAGAAGCATATTTTACAGCATAGAACACATCTGGCATCACAAGAAGCATTCTACAGCATAGAATACTTCTGTCTGGCATCACAAGAAGCATTCTACAGCATAGAACACTTCTGTCTGGCATCACAAGAAGGATTCTACAGCATAGAACACATCTGTCTGGCATCACAAGAAGGATTCTACAGCATAGAACACATCTGTCTGGCATCACAAGAAGCATATCCTACAGCATAGAACACTTCTGTCTGGCATCACAAGAAGCATTCTACAGCATAGAACACATCTGTCTGGCATCACAAGAAGGATTCTACAGCATAGAACACTTGTCTGGTATCACAAGAAGCATTCTACAGCATAGAACACATCTGTCTGCCATCACAAGAAGCATATCTTACAGCATAGAACACTCCTGTCTGGCATCACAAGAAGCATTCTACAGCATAGAACACATCTGTCTGGCATCACAAGAAGCATATCCTACAGCATAGAACACTTCTGTCTGGCATCACAAGAAGCATTCTACAGCATAGAACACATCTGTCTGGCATCACAAGAAGGATTCTACAGCATAGAACACTTCTGTCTGGCATCACGAGAAGCATTCTACAGCATAGAACACTTCTGTCTGGCATCACAAGAAGCATATCTTACAGCATAGAACACTTCTGTCTGGCAGTCATCTTCAAACACTTAGTCACTTTCCAGAAGCTATTCTACTTAGTTTATGGTCTACAAGGCTATGTTGTAATTATTAAGACGCTCATGATAACAAAACAAGATGTTAATTAGTTTGAAGTATGTCGATTAACTGTCTCTACATAAACATATTTTATATAGATACATCTCTTTTAAAATTTCCAAAGCAACAATCTACTTACTTGCTCTGAACAAAATCATTAATACCTCAACCAGGAAACATTATATTTCATTAACAATTCTAAAATTCAAATTCTGGAGACACTGCATGGCTGCATGAACACTGTCATTAACGTATACTTCTACTCCACACAGTGTGGGCTCCACCACATCAGTACAACACATGACCTGAAGTCGGACCAGTTAACATTAATGCAAGCA